AATTATGGTTCACATTATAAAATTGTACCATGAAGTTATACAGGTGCCGTAATAGGTTCATTGTATAAGTCGGTAACAATGACATATATACAACAAATCAAATTATGTACAGGTACAAATAAAAACAGAATCTAACAAATTCATATATTCTTCATTAATATTCAAGTCTATTTAAGGTTTCAGTCAATGTTTATATAATGACAATCAAGTTTATGACAGATCTACTAGAAGAACGGAGAAATTTTTAAACAATTACCTAACATGACCGCAATATTAGGGATCCTAATAGTATCTCCTTCGTTTATAAAAAAGAAAATAATACTGTACCACCCATTTTTATTATAATATCGCTTATAAGTTCGAAAAAAAGCAATGCACCATTTGAAGTTAACAAAATAATTTTTGATGTACTAAAATTTGTTGCGACCTAATTTTTTTTAATTATTTCATTTAGTAAAATACCTTAGTGTTGCACTTAGTTAGATAACTTCACTATTAATCACTTATATCAATTAATACAATATATTACATCATGTATGACATAAATAAACAATATTTGTGGAGTTTGCATATTTTTCAAATAAAGTAGCTAAATACAATAACTATTTTATGTTTATGTGCTTACATAAATGGTTATATATAAAATAAAGTGTTAAGGAGATTGACTGTTTTTCTCGAGACAATCTTGTCACCGGAAGACGAGTATATAGTCGAAGCTTAACCCTCCTGGTGAAGAATCATTCTTATTATTGTCTCGGCATTGGTTTCAGCAAGTTATACAATTAGACAGAATATTTATGTATATTTTCATCGATTTCAACCGTCGAAGGTCGTATATGGTATTTTTATATAGAGGGTAAGGCACCTAAGTTGATCACCTCAAATAGTTACTTAACGGTACAGTTTATGAAAACGTTGAAACATGGGATTTAAATGGCATCAAAGCGCACATCTTATAAGGTGCGTGCTTCTTTTGTGGGTGGAGGCGTTTCAGAGATGCCAAAGTCACCTTGATTTTCTTAAATGGAATGACCTCGTAGATGAAAGCACAAAGTAAGAGTACATGACATATTGATAAACATTGTCAGATGAACACTGCCATCTTCGTGAATCACTCGGAGACATTCACTTTACGCGGATCAAACTATTGCTAATATCTCTTTAACTATCAAGTTTAGGACGTATGAAGGTCAACACTTTTATATTCAGAATTTGATACTCTATCGATCTATGAAGAAAGTAGGTCATTCTATTTAAAAAAATCAAAGCGACTTTGAAATCTCTGAAACGCCTCCACCCACAAAAAAAGCACGCACCTTATAAGATGTGCTCTGATGCCATTTAAATCCCATGTTTTAACGTTTTCATAAACTGTACCGTTAAGTACTTATTCGAGGTGATCAAGTTAGGTGTCTCATCCTGTATACCCACTAACAGAAGCAAAAATTTCCGTGATTAATCTTCTGGTAAATTTCACTGCATACTGTAATTAATTTTTTGTACATACTATGTATATTTCGAACATTAAAAAGAAACAAATCTTCCTTCTGTTCTTTAAACCAAATCATATTATTTATTTATACAATTGTTTATTTTCTTTTCATTTAATATTAATTGAAGAATAAACTAAAAAATTAAAGTTAATCAAATAGAATCTTAAAAAACGAGTAACAGCGTGTTAAGTATGATAATGTAATGTGGTAATTAAATAAATGTTCAGTAAATATCTCGTATACTATATTGCAAATAGACACGTTTGAAATGTCCTTTTGAATGTTTGTCTTTGTAAGCGTGTAATAAATAACGATAAAATTGTGCGAAACTGCGGCAAACACTTCGTATATATTTGCTTTTTCTGTGCAAGCTAGGAGACCGTGTATAATATCCTGTGGCTAAATTTCCTTTCCATACGTTTCTAAGGACGCCCCCATTAAACGGTGGACAGGGGTAATCGAATAGTTCTAAGCTACCGGAGGGTCGGAATAGGCGTTCTAAAATTGGGAGGGGTATGTAGGGGAACACGAAAACCGGATGGCACACCGAATTGTAGTCGACTATATTCCAAGTCGGTCCTCTATTTCCAAACGTAATTTTTATTTCACTAGATATTACTTTCCGATATAATTGTAATTAAATCGTTCAGAAAGAAAAAAAGTAGCAAAAATAATAACATACATTCTGCAAACCATAATACTAAACTGTGTCCCATTATACAGTCAACACTTTTGTTTAATTGAAAAGGAAGGAAGCTTGCATTATTAATAAAAAAGAACTGAATTTTCAGTTCAGAAAGCTTGTTTAACTCATGTGTACCATTTGGCACTTCGTAAATATTTCAGTTCATTTTTTTATGGATAAATAATGTTCAATGAAATGGATTTATTAGTATTTTATTCAAATATAAAGATGAGATTCAACGGAACTATTATTATCTTAATAACCACACATGAACGTCCCTGTTCTAAAACTAATCAAGCATCGACTGTAGTGGGGACCACACCTTCAGCTAATTAATCGTCATTTATTAGCCATGTCTTACGCTGCCGCTAAAGTAAGGCAGGTGAATAGAGGCAACATGGACGCAGTTTCTTCCTTTTTCAACCTCTTACCCTGAGCACCCTGACCCTGGGCACATAAGCAGCTGTCTCACTCCACCCCTTTGTGGCTGCAGCTCTGCTCTAACGTAAGGCCGAATTTGTCTATCCCTGCACGGCGCGTGCAGCACTGTCGTAAGCCCGAAAATTCGGCTGCATAAAAACAGCTTAATTTCCGCTAAATACGATCGCGGAATAGAAATTCGTTAATTAACAATTAATAATATATTCCATCATCGCTGTGCGCACATGGAATTCATTTTGGTATCTTTCAAAAAGTGGCAGGATCTATCCTTTAATCTTCTCGACGTGTTCACTCTGTGAAGCAAACGCTAAAACATAACAATGAAAATATTAAAAAGAACCGATCAATGAATCCCACGATAAGGGATTCCATGGAAAAACAGGGGTTTTCGAGTGACGCCAGTAAAAGGAAAAAGAAGCATAGAGATACTCGTGAGTCACCGATCCATTGTATACACAACAAAGTATTTATGCGAACGGTGCGGAACGCTGGCAACATAAATGTTACCACGACGAGCTCATCAATGTTCGGAAATTATGCTTAAGGAATTGCCTTGTCACTATATAAATGCAAATAACGGGGCGAAGATACGCATCTTCGATTCGTTCGTTTGTTGGACACGCACATTCCCAGAGAAAGAGAGCCAAGAACAGGGCTCGCTAAGAGCGAGGCAAAGAAAAGAAAAGGGAAGAAAAGAAGAGGAAAAAAAAGGAGAAGAGAAAAGCGCCCGATAGATTCCTGCAACAACCTCAATATGCATACGAGCGAGCATAGAAGCTAGGGAAGCTCGTTGACCGTGCTACCGTTCGCCGAAAACACCCGGTAGATTTTTGCAGGGACCGACCACGAGCGACGAAGAAGATGGGCCAGCGAACGGCGCATGGAATGGACTGGAGAGAGAAAGAACTATCGCGCTTGGGATCCTGGGCGTCGGTACACACGCGCAGCCTGGTGTCTCGTACGTTTCCTAATCGCGTGCGTACTTACACCTATACGCACACACACGCGTGTGTACACGCGCGCTAGGGCGCGTACATGCACGTAAAAATTGAGCGCGCACGCAGACAAGCGCGTGGCCGGCTGCGAAAACCGGCGTGCGAAAATCGTCCAATCGGGAGCAGAGGCGGGAGTCGGTGGGGCAGCACCACGTGGTACCGGACGGGCCAATCGGCGGGCGACCGCTCGCGAATTTCGAGTCGGTTTCCCGCTAAACGTTCCCCGAGCATCTAGCCCGCTAGAACAGGACGGACGACGCGGGGCTGGCGAAAAAAAGAGGAGCGAGAAGCGCGCACACGAGTGCGGCAAGGAGAGACTGAGAAGGTCGCGTACAACCCGGTGAAAAGGAGCGACGGAGAAGGAGGAGGGAAGAAGGACAGAGAGAGGGAGAGAAAAGCACGTGGAAGAAGAAGAAGAAGAAAGAGAAGAGTGACGAGTTTGCATCGCATTTTGCCGTCCTCCCTTCTCTCCGCTTGCCGCCGCGCAGGGACGGGACACGCGAAATAACGAAGGAGCGAGCGAGAAAGGGTGAACACCGCCCGGTTGGAAAAGAGGGAGAAAGAGATCGCCGAATGAGAGAGGCCCCTTCGGACCTCGCGTCTTTGGTCTAGCCAAAGAGAGAAGAGAGCTGGGCAGGAAGGTGCGTCGTCGTCGTTGTCGTCGCAAAGGACCGAGGTGAAGAAGGAGAGGAGAGGAAGGAAAAAGAAGAAGAAAGACAGAACAGAGTCACTTGAGTACACACGGTGAATCCGTCGAGAGAACGGTCGAACCGCTCGTCCCTTAACGTTAAAAAAGTTCAAGAGTCGTTTCTGGGAAGACACGCACACGGGTCTTCGTCGTGGGCTCTGTTCGATCGGGGCCAGTCACCATCCTTCATTCGGTTTTCGTGTGATCGTCGAGCTGGGCTCGAGGGTACTTGCAAACGTATCGTCGTCGTCATCCACTAACACCGGAAACACCGTTCCGAGAGCCTCCGTGCGATAACCACCCGGTGACGAGTCGACGTGACGGGACAGAGACGGAGGGACTACCGAGGAAGTTGGAGGGAGACAGAGACAGGAGTTCGTCGTCGCGTCTCGAAGCGAGCGGGAAATAGACAGCCGCTGCGAAAAAGGAAAGGAGGAAAGGAAGAAACAAAAGACAGCGGCAGACAGAAACGCTGAGAAGATCGTCCGAGAACGTCGCACAAATACCTCCTTGTGCCTCTTTATACGTTTTGGTGTAACGCGAAAATCACGCCGAGTATCAACGCGCAAAGGACGAATCGTGTTCTACCGAGCGTCATCGTGATCGACAACCGAGTACGTCTGAAGGGAACCAAACAGAAGAAGAGGGAACCCGACGAGAACCACGCACGCCGCGCCGCAGTCCCGTGTTTCGTTACCTCTCGTGCGATATCAAGAACACCGACATAGTTGTCGTCCGCGATACGTGCCACTGATCCACACGGGCGAACAGTTTTCGCGATCCTCGCGGTGTCGAAGCGTGCGAGTGCCACTGCTCTCGTGTCGAAAATTCCTATCGGTGAATCCCACCACCCCCTCCACCCACGCGCGCCTAATCCACGCGTTCGCGTCCCGTTTCGTTCCGGGTGTGGATTGTTCAATCGTTCAATCGTTTTTTTTTCTTATTTTCCCGCCATCCTTAGTTTTTTTTCCTTGTTTTTTCTCTGTTCCTCGCGATACATCGCATTTTCATCGGCGTTCCCACCACTGGGCATCGCCAGGGATCGTTCGAACGCGTGACACACTAAGGTTGCAAATTTCCGAAGCCACGTGACCGAGACGCGCATCTCGTGGAAGAATCACCGGTTACTCGTAGCGTCCAACGAACGCAACAAGACCAAATCAACATGTCCAAGTTGTACGTGGGCAATCTGCCGTCGAACTGCAACGAGAGGGCCCTCAGGCAACTCTTCCAGGATCACAATTTGTCGTGTACCACGATCATGGTGAAACGTGGCGGTTACGCATTCATCGATTGCACCGATCAGTCTGTGGCGGATCGCGCGATCGACAAACTTAACGGTGAGTTTTATTTTTCAATGGAAATAGACACGGTACAGTTTAGTACATGTATATACCGCATATATTGGCTCGATAGATCGTGCTGATCCACTTCGCTATCTGCCTCTTACATAGCTGATACACCCGGCACCATCGAACAATGCTGCTTTTTACTGTGTCCGCTCTGTTGTACATATTTGCCGCATTTACTGCTCGCTGATGTTGCTATTCACAGGGATCTGGTGTTGCTTCGCTGACCGAACCACGGGGAATCCTCAACCAGGGCTGCCGCCATGGATTCAGGAAGCTTGATAATTTAAAAACTGTCGAACGCTTTTGCCGCTTTACATACACACGTTGCTGCGCTGTGCGCGCGGCTTCTTGTCGTTTAGCGTCAGAGGAGACTCGTTTGCTGGTTCCTGTATGCAACGAGTTTCGTCTACGCGAACGGTCGTAATCGCTTCTCATTAGATGCTTTTGGACTACAGTTTATAAGATAATTTTACTTTTTTTCATTTTTTTTCTGCTAGAAAAATATACATATTGTTGCACGCTTGTACATATGCTTTACACATTCTTTTTGTATATAATTATTTATCAACCTGCCTCCTGTATATAAATCCTATCCTGCTCATGTGTTATTATGACTGAATTAAGAATGTACGATGTATGCATTTTATAACCTATACTTCGTTTGACAACGTTTTACTGACATTCGACGTATTAATCGTCAACTGTATTTTTCCATGAAAGGACAATCGCGTGTTATCGTTGGCTGTCCGATTTTCATGGTCGATTACCACGGAAATTTGTACGATACATTTTTTCAATGAAACATCCCGTATGGACGATTGCGTTTAGGAAGAACCGCTGCGCAGTGTCTATTGCTTTGAGAACCCCTGCGCGCGACCTCGAAAAATGCTTCCGCCGAAAAAGCGTCATATTTTCATTCAATACTCCGTGCGAACGCGTAACTGAACGCTGCGACATAAAATTATTTCTACGAACGTAAACTTTTTACAGACTTCTTTATTTATTGCAAGGGGAGCGTTTCTTTAACTAAATTTTGTTAAATTCGTTCCTCGTCCTGCCGAAATATATCGACTCTTCTCTACGAATGCTCGTGTCGTGTGAAAAACTTATCCACGTGGTGAGAGAGGCGCACGCATCGGCAAGATGGCGAAGCCGGTTATACCGGCAAGGTCACGCATGTGGGTTCGCCTTCGAGATAACTTTCTGATAATCGTTCAGTAGACGTGTGTTGTCGTCGATCGATACGATCGCCCGGGATTTTATTTTAGACGACAATAGTAATTCGTGTATTGAATCGTACATTACGATAGAATCTCGAGAACAATTTCATGGCTAAGATTGAGACAAATCTGCAATTATTCTCTTTTATTTAGAAACATGATTTAGACATTGCGATCTTATTTTTTTCTTTATTTTATTATAGTATTAAATGATTTTTTACGTTATAAATTATTAAAAATGAATTTTGTACAATACATATTATTTTCATAAGAAAGGTTGCTTTACACGGAATTACCGCCATTTTTTTCTACAGAATTTACCAGTCAAAATTTAATTATTTAACATATCCGAAAAGGAAATTCTAATGTCGTAACCAGGTTATGATTGTACTCATCAAACGTATAGTAGAGTGTTAGTCTGTGATCGATTAAAATTTCTAGTGACTGCACCAGTCAGTGCAAGTATAATTTTATCTTAATCAATGAATCGTTCGATCAATGCAAATTACGAAATCATCGTCAAGGTACTGAAATGAAAAAAATTCTCTGTGAAATAATGGTTTCACGAATCTTGACCCGGCATACTGAATTCCATCTTCGTCCTGGGAAATTAGATCGACGCTTGACTAGGAACGATTCACGCTCACGCGCGCCGCCGATCCTCTCGTCCAAAAAACGTGGTCAAGGTCGCGTCTGTACGCGTGACGTATAGTTCCCCACTGGCTCCGTGACGAGTTTAAAATTTACATCGTGAAATACCGCCAACCTCATCTCAACGTGCCCGTCGAAATCGGTTAGTCACACTCGTCGTACAGGACGGCCATGCTAATCGAGTAAATTCAGATCGTAAATTTCGTTGACGACTTTGTACGCGGTGCACAGGCGTATCTCGCTAGATTACGCTTCTAAGATTGAACGCTGTTTATTACGTGTTACGTATACTGGTTTCGTGGATGTTCTAAATTCGCTGATGACTTTAGAAATGATTTGCTAATCGTCAACTCTTTGTAGTCATATATTGAAAACTTGGACATTCAATTTTATTCTGATAGCTGCTTGTTTTAACAATTACTAATATTATTCGTAATAGTAGAATACAGTTTGATTGCTTTTAAATGTCGTTAAATAAATTAGTAAAATGAGATAGTAAACTACAGCTGAAAAAATATGAAATGAAATGATGTGAATGATTGCGTTGTATAAAGTGAATGAATGAAAAAACACATTACATTTTTATGTTTCTATGAAAAAGATCAAGTTTAACACTAAAAGTAGCAGACGATTAGTTACTAGAAAATAATTAAATAAACATGTCCACATAACAGTCATACGCAATCTCAATAAATAAATTTTTCTAACTTTTATAAGATATTACAAACAAGTCAATTTTAGAACTCGATATTTTTAGTATTAAGAAAATAATTTAATTAAGAATTGGGGTGCAAAATTACTCAGTAATGTTATTCATTGTTAGCAAGCGCTATTTGTCTTACGTAAATCTCCAATTAATTCAAGTAGTATGAGTTTTCGTATATATTTGAGAAAGTTGATGCGTATGGGCTTTCTGCGGTATTTCCCTGGACACCAAAAGTGTCTTGTCGACACCGGTTAACAAGACCATTTGAGCATGTAATTCCAAAGCAATTGGTTTCGTGCCAAAGTGCCGCAAGAGAAACCGCTGTCACGCTCGTGACAATCCCTGCCGTGCGAGATGCCAATCGCTGGGTAGCGATTACTGTCGTTGTGTTCGGTAACATTTTCCTTTGGTATTACCCTTTATATGAATAGTCTTTCTTCTTTTATTTAAATTTCTAGGTAAAAACAAACAAATCGAACTATTGAACGAAGTGGAATAAAACAGTTGATAGTCGCTAATAACGACTAGTTAGATGACGCGGCAGGCGACAAAATATTAAAAAAGGAAACATTAAGAAAATTCGATCCGCGTGATATTTGATTTCACCAAACAACACGTTGCACGATAAATAATTTGATTCAATTGTATTGTACTTTCGACAAAATATTCAAAATGGTTTCGGTAAGCCTAAGCTGCAGACTGGTATAGGACAGTTGCAAATCTCGCGCAAGTGGATGGCATGTAAAATGTAGCAAAAGAATGCGAGGCGGGAGAGAACGGTCAGTTTGCTTAGAAGCTGTGCTGCAAGAAAGGCACGGTACGGACATTGGAGCGATTCATAGGGAATAGTTTCTCTCCCTCTATTTCGTTAGCAATACAGAAGGCTCAGTCGTTGCTCCTGCAGCAGGGGTACATATGTATGCGGAGCCGATCCTTGGATACAATGCCGTGCGCGGAGAACGTTACCGCTGAGTACAGAACTAGTTTGGTGGGTTGTGTTACGTTTTAGATCTACTAAACTAAGGCTAGTCGCGGTTAGACGACATGAGAGCGGAGCCATCGGTATTAATTCACCGTGGAACGCGGCCTATTTAATGCTAGCTACCATTTTGTGCCCGTCGAGAGTACATCACGTCAACTGTAAAATTATTATCTAACAGATAATTACTCATTTGAAAAAATTCTTTGGACGCGAAACAGTTTTTCAATTCATCTATCGTTGAAATATTATGTTCGACTTTTAGATTTTCCATTAAAAAATAGATTCATTTTATTGAAATACTTTTAGTCCAGGAGACCATACAATATCTAGTCTTTATTAAATGTTTCAAACGTAATATAATTCTTAAATCGATCTATTGTCCAAATAATTACTCATAAACTATAATTACTTGCTGTAAACAGTAATAATTATTAGATTAATATTCTTGGTTGAAAAATAAACTTATTCATCGAAAAATTCTTAGTTCAGGGGACCGAGTAATTTCTAGTCCTTATTTCCGTGCCAGCTCACAGAAGCCATTGAATGTGGAACGGTTGAGGGAGCGTATATTTTTAATCGCGGTTTCGCAGTTGTCCACGGCTCGCTCGGCTTGATTTGTCGCGTGCCTGTTCGGGACCACCTGTCCTCGAAAAAAAGTTACCTGTTAACAGTGCACCGGTAACCGACGATACTGATGGAACTTTACGATTTCAGGCTCTCCTCGAGCAACGCGAGAGAGCCTTCTCACGGTGGCTTGATAAAAATATCGGTTCAAATTAAAGAAAAATAATCCTATGTTAACACGGTTGATCTCGTTACGATTATAAATCGTGTCAAACGTTATTACTACTACTATCTCCATTGAAATCTCGCCTTATCGATTCGCGTGCTGTACAGAAGGATACGTCGCGCACGTAAGAAGCACGCGTTTAATGTTAACGGAAATGGCCACTGGTTAATTATACCCTGTGTTCTCCGTATCCAATCGATAACCGCTCCGGACGAACGATGCAACGAACTTCGTATCACGCTTTATCGGTGTTTGCCTCCATCGAACGCGAGCTTCGAAAACTTTATCACGTCTGTTCCCAATGATGTTACTTCTCGTTCGTTTGTTGTTTTACGAAATAGGTACCTTTCGATTGGGAATCTTAGTTATATTTTACGATATATAAGTATTCCGTTCTCTATTATGTTCTTTTCATAAATATCAAAAGAACCATTCAGTGTGACATTTTTTGTTTAGTTTTCAATGATATGAAACAAAATGATTAAATTCAGCAAATGTATTGTTCGAATTCAGATATTCGAAAATATAAACCAGACTTTGGCTTTCATTCGCGTGAATCCTACAATATTCGTGTTCGGTAAATTCAGTTTCAAATTTTCAGTACCTGATTCAACACCATGAAACAAGGCGTTAAACGAT